CCAACAAGGGGTGTGTATTCCTGCATAGGACACGCCTGTGTAGGATGGCTATGCTGAAAACTGCTCTCAGGTTGTAGAAGCAAAAAAGAGTTTTTGGCAACACAGGCCTTAGAATAAGCAGATCGCCAGTCCCATATGCATGTAGATTATACACCTCTCTATAGCAGAATAACAATGTGGTTCCAGTCTCCTTCTGTACAATAAAATGGGCAACAGCAGTTTCTGAATGGAGAACAGTTTACCTCCTGAAGCAAAACAGAACAAGTTCCTCCTGCATTCAGGATTCCCTGGGAGTAATGCTCTGCAACTGCTACTTTACTGTGGTGTCAGTCCACTTGCTCAGCAACTCATTTCTCCAGAAGGTGAGATACCTCACCAGGCATCACTCACTTCTGAAGCTTCTGCTTCATCTCGCCACAGGGGCCTGATGCATGAGAGCAATAAAGAACTAATCCCAAAGAGCCTTTTCAGAGAGCTCTTATTTGCTCAGTTAAGAACACAAATTTTTCCCTGAAAATTGTCAGAGGATACAGCCATTTCATGAACCCATTACGAAGGACCTAATAATCTGCAGTGCCCTGAAGAGCATGCAGTTTTTTGCAGGGCATGGTAAACCAGCACAGACTTTGGCAAACAGATTGTGCAGAGCAGGACATGACCCAACTGGCTGGGCACGGGCTACCTCTGAATCAAAAGCCCTATAGCTCTGCTGGGCAGCACTCTGCTCTCAGCAAAATTGCATAAGCACAGCTCTCTGAGACTGCAGCAGGTGCTGTGCAATCAGGAGCACAGGTTTGTCTGCAAAACACTGTGCAGATGCAGCTGGAGTCTGTCAATAGACTCTTCTAAATTCAGGTACAGATTTTGCAGAGATGTAAGACTATAGTTTTATTTAAGCATATTTCACAAGATACATCTGCTGAAGACAAAATTCTGATTTTAAGTGTGGATTAATATTGCTCTGTGCAGCCTCTAAAGAAATGCAATCACCAGCAATGACAGATCCTGTAAAGGTTTCTCTGTGTTGCTTTTTTTCCATTTGTCACTTTTAATGCTGTTTGTAACTGCTGGGAGGCGTACAGCTGTTCCCACCCTCACCTTACAGAAAACTTGGTTATTTTTAGTTTCTTCTTTACACTCAGACTAAGGCCAGCCCTTCTCCTGTCACTTCTTAGTCTGTAGATGATTCTCCAACCAGTTTGGGCAGAGAGTTCAACAGGGCATCATGAGTCACACTTCCTTTTTCCTGGTATTTTTGGAAATATCAGAAATCTTTTAAATACATTCTGACAATTTGAAGAAAAATCTGCAGTTGCCTCATTTTGATTTAACTGAGTCTTGAAAGATAAGCGGGGGGTGTGAAGGAGGATGCACAGAAACAATGCTGCCTTGACTCATTTTCTTGTCTATACTGGGTTGATGTTTCTGGCCTTTAGCTGCTTCAATTCCTTGTCAAGCATGACTGTAACAAGTAATTTCTGAACAGGACAAAGAAACATGATTATTTAAGTTCACAATGTCTGTGTGCATGACAATAATGAAATTTCAGCATTGATGTCAATAGCACTACTGTGGTTTTTTTTAAGTGGTTGGAGTTTTAGCAAGTGAAGCAGTATAGCTGCCCTTGAGGGGTCTGTGCCCTTTGACAGCAAAGCAGAAAAATATTGTGTTGTGCAAATCTGCCGCTCTACTGTACTCCTGAGAATGGAGAATATAATCTGGTTTAACAAGCACTAGTGTTCTCATAATGTCAGCTGAAGAGGATTACAGGAGAATCAATTTTATGTAATTAAACCTTCCTGACATAAATAGAGATCATTTCCTTAAAAGGAAAAAAAAATAGAAAAAGAAAAGTCTCCATGACTGGAACATTCCCCTCCCTTCCTGCAAGGCAGCTGTTAACTGAAAAATTATAATTGAAATAAGTCTTGGGAAATACTACTCTCTTACTGATATGCAGTAACATTTAAAAAAAAAAATAAGTGTATTTAATGTGTAGCAATTCCACCAGAAATGGGAAGAATAACTTGACAGATGTCTTGTTTTGGGTCTTCCTTCGGCAATGGAAAAAATAGAACAGCAGAGCTTGACATAGTCCTGCAGTTCCCACATCTTTCCCTTATGTGCATGTTGATAGGTTTTTGTCCAGGTCATGCTGATGCATCCAGAGGATGCATTCTCTAGACACAAAATGACCTTCATGCAGGAACAAAGGAAAAATTGTTTCAACTGTCCAAATTTAAATCTTCAACCAAAACTGTTAAAAAGAGGTATAAATAGGAGTGTGGGCTATGGAGGCGAGAGATTTCTGTTGGGGGGGTAGGACTGTGCATGCACCTCTGACTCTGAATGCAGTAATATCCTTTAGCTGGTAAATGCAAATAAAGCAGCAGCAGACTATGCAAGGTTGAAGAGTTAATTTAAATCTTAATATTACCACATCCTTTTTAATACAGCCTAGGGGTACGTACAACCAAAAATTTTTTCACAGTGTTATTGTAAGGACAGTACTACCAGCACTGTTCTCATGGTGCAAATAGATTCCAAAGAAAAAGGAAGAAGAGGTTATACCTAGGAGGTGTGTAATTGCTTTACATGAGGCCCCGTCCTTTTTGATGCTGCTTGCTTGTGTTCCTGTGTGTTTTCTGCTTCAATGTTTACACGTGTATCAAATTACAGCCCAGTTACAGATTCATTGCAGCAGAAGCTGCCTTTGTTCCGCCATATAGATACACTCTCCTCCTGCATCTTTTTTTTCCTATTTGCACTGATCATGTGGAAATAGCCCCACGTGTTGCATGTTCTGTGCTGCATGGCAATAATAAAGCTCTGGTACTGTGCTACGTAGTATTCATGTTGCTTTTCACCTCTATGTAATTCATCCTCACCATCATCCTTACAACTGTATCTGCAAGCAGTCTCTTTTTGGCCTGTAGGAAATACTGAAGGAAAGAAGCAGATTACTTTCCCAAAAAAATCCATTGGAAGCAGATTGTTTCCTTATGCAACTCCAGGGTCATAATGACAGTTTGAGAGTAGTCTGCAAAATATCTGGGTGTAAAACTGGCAAGACTTGGTCCCTCTCTTCCATCAGGGCAGTGTAGATTCTGCTGATCCATAGTGTTCATTGTGCTTCCTGCGCACTTGGCCTCCACATTGGGTATTGGCCTGTGATATTGGCACCTAGACCATGAAACTATGCTGGCTCTTGTGATGAAGCCTCAGATGTTTGTGTCTTGATATTAAGGTTGCAGAATTAATCAGCTGTGGGTGTGAAACTCCTGCCTTTGCACTATGGACAATGGAAAGACTCCGGTGGTAGCTGGCACCTACCTAATGGGGAAAGAAAGTGCTCCGTTACTGGCAGCTGGATGAGGACAGGCCATTCTGTCACCCCTGGGGAATGATTATTAGAGACAGGAGAAATTGAAAGAAGTGCTAGATGAAATGCACTCATGCCTGCACTTCCATCATTGAGATCTTTATTGCACTTACAGTTTGGGAAGGCATCACTTGCCCATTTCTTCCAGACCCCTTTCAGTCCTGGCAATCAGTAAATGCGAAGTGGATGCCTGCTTGACTTTCTGCACCTGCATCCCACATCAGTGCACAGCCTGCATGACCTGAAGTAGCACACATGAAGTAGATGATGTTCAGGAAATGGGTAAAATAGATCAGTAAATCTCATTGTGGGTGTTCCCACAGCTAAGTCCCTTAGCTTGCACCATCAGTGTGATGTTCGTTTATTCTAACTTTCCATCTTAGTGCAACTGCCCTCTTCTCCTGTCCTCTGTTCACTGTATATTAAAGTTCTTTCCTGGGTAGAAAACATCTGTCTGCTTTTACTCATGACATATATCCAAATGTCAAAATTAAATAAAAGATTTCCCTGGTCGTGTCTGGAGTCAAGGTAAAGAAAGAATGTGTTTCATACAACACAATTTCCCTGCTGTCTCAGTTTACCAAGGTGTATATTCCATTGAGAGGTGCCTTCCTTTCTATAGTATCAAACAGAGCAAGATATATCAGGAGATTGGATTTACTTGGTTGTCTTTCTGTGCCTGTGCCTTATTGCACATCTGAGCTTCATTTAGTTTATGAACTCTGCTGTTACTTATCCAGTTTTCCTTTCCCTGATTTTCCCCATCTCATAAAGCAAGTATAACTAATGTGAACTGTAAGCCTTGCATTTTCTGCTGCTTTTGCTTTGTTTAGCAATGCCTTTACTCTGACAGAGAATGATCCAAGTCTCTGGGAATTTTCTTGCTAATTTCTGTAAGACTACATAAAGTTTTATTTGGTTCAATTAAAAGAGAAAATAATTTTCTCTTTGAGACAAATTTAATTGAAGTTTAACCCTGATAAGGAAAAGGTTTGAAATTTAGTTTTTTGCCCAATTTTTTTTCTGTAGACTCTAAGAAAATTCTTCTTGGTCAGGATGTACTTCACATATTGCAGTGGTTCTGTAGCACTTTGGTCTACAGTGTGGCCATCTCAGACAGGCTTTAGAGCATTGTCATTGCTAAGCTAGGAATGTTTCCATATATGATTCTATGAATGCTTTGTCTGCATTATCCTTGCCATACTATTTCATCATACACACCTGGTTTTGTCCTATCCATAATTTTTGTCTGGGTCATTTTTCTTTTTGCAAGTCGGTGCCAGAGTTTGACTGTTACATGCTTTATAAATATGTTCTTTTTTGCCCTGTACTGCATAGCTCCAGTCTTGCAGCTGATGTCGGGGTGTGATCAGCAGGGATCTGTACAGTGAAAAAGTTTTTCATGGTATCAGTTGTGGGATCAACCATAGATTTTGAATTGTCAAGTACAGGTGCACTGTACGTTGTATCCTGTTCTGTTATTCAAACATTCATGTGCTTGATTTCAGAACAATGGAAAGCTGGAATGTTTGGGCTGAATTGCGTTCAAGATGGTTACAGATGCAAGGTCTGCTCTGTGTTTCCTTACATCATGAAACTGCATGTCTTTCTTTTTTAGATTTGAACGTATTCATACAAAGAAAGGGAACTACAGTAAGTCACTAGTTTCAAACCAGGAAGAGGTAGATGATTTAGCAACCTTGGAGGTACTGGATGAGGTAAGAACCTCCTTTTTCACATTTTCCTGAAGAGGGGTAACCATGTATTAAAACACAATGGTGTGCTGTTGATTTTCAAGTTCAACTATATTGTCACACTTCAGTTTTGTAAGTGTACAATGGCGTTTTACCAGTTTATGCCAGATATTTTAAATGAGATGTGCTGTGTCAGGAATATTTCTAACTCAAAGCTATAACACCCTCTGCAGTTACAGCCTTAGACCAAGCAGTATTATAGTACCATTTGCTTAACAGGATTTATATTACTGGATTTTATTACAGCTAAATATCTAGTTTGCAATGATGTGTTAACCTGAAATTGGTCCAGGTTCAAGAACAAGTATGTTCTCCCCTGTTGCTTGGACATAGCATATTCTCCTAGGCTGGGTTCTCATTGACTTACTCTGGTGTGGGCATGCGTTGAGATCAATTTATGTCAGCTGAGGCTCTGACCTGTGAATGCCTTCTGGTGAACTTTTGACAAAATTACTGATATAAGTCTCAGTGGTTTGTCAAAGTTTGAAAATGAGTCCTCTAGGAGCAGGGGAACATGCATAAGGCAGGGAGGAAGTCTGTTGTGTTTATCCTTAAAGCTTCAAAGCCAGAAAGAATAATCAGGCCACAGCACATTATCTGCAGGTCTTAGAAGCCATCAGTGGTTGTAAACAAACTGTCATTCTTCTTGTACCGGGCTGTGCATAGACTATAATTCACATTCTCTTATCCGTAAAACTTCTCTGGTGTATTTCATCTTCGTCAGTCCAGAATACGAAATGTGGCTCTTCAGCTGGTAAGCTACATAATGCTAACAGCCCACAGAACATCTTCCATCATCCAACAGCTTGGTTAGAGTAGCTTAATGTTTAGTTAATACTAATTGAGCTAATCCAAGCTTCATCTACACAAAGCTCGGATTTAAGCATTTTTTTTAATACTGGGAACAGCCATATGCTGGCAAGACTGGTTTAGCTTTTGCTGTGAAGCATATAAACAGTCTGAGCTAAAGAGAAGACATGCAAAAAAACAGATGAGCCGGAAGCTTATCCCATCTCCTCAGAGGTGGAGTGTTCCCAGGAAAGTCCTCAGGAAGCCTCCACCTAAAGGCATCATTTGGCTATGTGATATTGTGATATTTTACTAAATCCAGTCCAGTTTAAAACCTCTTTCACATATGACTGGCAGCTTCTCAGAACTGTCTCCTTTTTTCCATTCAAACTTTTTTTCTAGTTTAGATAGCCCTATCAGAAAAGCAGAACAGGAGACCTTCTATCAATGCAGGAAATAATTTGAAAAAGGGCAGTAATTCCCCTAAAAATTCTTGTAATGTCAATCTGGTTGTGGCCAAAAGCAAGGCAGCATTCAAAAACAAAAAGGGAAGAGTTTATCAAGGCAATAGAAAGCTAAAGTTTTCTCCTTATGTTTTCCTGTGAAGGGAATGTAACCTTTTCAGCTGTTGAGAATTCGGGTTTTGAGTGCATTAACCAGAACACAGTGCACAGCTCTGTGGACAGATGGATGTGGAGGGAAAGCAATTCCTTCTGTAGTCCTCTGCTGCTGGTCGTTCTGTTCCAGCACCTAAATATTTTCACATGTACCTCAAAATAGTCTCAAGGCTGGTTTGAATTTCTTCATCCGGCTCTATGTCCTGTTTTGATCTCTGCATGCAGAAGAAGTTGAGGGGAATCATGTCAAGAAATTGGGTATGCCACTAGTGGACCCTTCTTTTTTCTTGATTCAGGGAGAACTGGCTCTGCAGCAGCAAAGAACAATCCCAGCAGGGACTGGTCGTTAATACAGAAAGATGCCTGATTGTTTACGTGAATAGGATCCAAACAGTTGAACGTCTATTTCTTATTATAACTGGGAGTAAAGTTAGAGCAGCTGTAATGGTAGTTATGAATTCAAGCATATGGCTCTTGCTTGATGAGTTACATGAAGCTGTAGTGTTAGAAATTATGACAGCACTGTCTCATGGAAACCTTTGATTAATTGAATTAAAGCAGTACTTACTAACTAATTTTTCTGCAGCCACTTGGGAATCTGGAAGTATATATTGTTCAAAGTGAGTTTGGACACAAGAAGTTAGGAATGCCAGTATGTTTGAAAGTGTTACTCACTTTTGATCACGATCGATTGTATTCCTGATTATTAATACCTTCCCTCATTGTAACTATATAAATATTTAATACATTTTCCTAATATTATTTTTTCCTCCATGTGATTCAATGTTGCTATTCTTTCTCCATCAGAATACAGTAACAGAGCAGTTGCAGAAGGGTTACGCCAAGGATCAGATCTACACTTATGTTGGAGACATTCTCATTGCTGTCAATCCATTTCGGAACATAGATATTTATTCTTCACAGGTGTGAAAATCTAGGTTTGGTTCTTTTAAACTAGCACTGATTTCCATTAAAATATGAATATTTGTGTTAAGTATAAGGTAAGACCATTTTTGAGATTAACTTCAGTTCACTCTGAAAAGCAGAATTACCAATACAGTTGCCCCTGCAAGTGCATATCGACACACATCCTTCTCATGTGCTGAATTTCAACACAGATATGAGAAACTTCAAAAAATTTAATTTCTGATATCTTTATGTCTACAGTGTAGATCATGTCTATATCCTGTCTAAAGTGCAAACAGCTATATCTGAGAAAGTGATCCGTTTTGATCAATGGCTAGAAATAGGATTTTTGAGGTTATTCTTCTTCTAGTGACTCTTAACATTCATTCTAGGATGAGATGAATTACGCTAAACTTCATGAGATTTGTTGACTAGAACTCCACAGAGTGTAAAGGCACTAGCTGCCCATAGCATCTAGTTCAGAAGTAGTATCTGTACAAATAAGTGATTCTGACCCTCTTTGTGGGAGGCAGCATTCCTTCTCAACATCCCATGGATAACTTCTGTGAATGGCTGGAGGTGGTTGCTGCAGGCATTTCCTCCCAAGAGAGCTGGGGAAGCCATAGCTATTTAATTGATCAGACAGTTCACAAAGCAACCCTGTAAAATTTTAACTATTGTGAATATATACAAAAGGGGACAGATATGAAAGTCTGGTCATACAATAATTTGGCATTATTAATTATCAGATACTACAGGCACAGAAAAGATCTTAAGTTTTTATAGCAATATCATGCAGAAATAATAAGAGGATGTGAAGTACAAATAAAATGAAATTGTAAGCTAGTCCTTGATGTCTGGCAACATTAAATTTTCTTCTAATAATCATGTCTGACATAATACAAAATTGTGCTTCATCTTCTTTAGCAATTCTTATAGTAACAAGTACATACAAATTCGTGGTATAGTGAGTGCAGTAACAGCTCCCTCAGAAAATGCCACTGCTGTAACCTCAGCATACTGTACACTGAAAATAAAACTAAACTCTGACTTTAAAAAGTTAAGGGACACTGATAATGCTTTAATTTTTCTTATACTTAGCATTCCAAATTGTATATTGGAGCCAAACGGACTGCCAACCCTCCTCATATTTTTGCTGTTGCTGACATAGGTTATCAGTCCATGGTGACATACAACTCTGATCAGGTAAAGATGAGGTGTCTTAATTATATCCCTTGCAAGGCTGAGAGGTATGTAATGAGCTCAGACTCATGCTCTTGTTCTCTGCAGTGTATCGTTATTTCTGGAGAAAGTGGAGCTGGCAAGACGCAAAGTGCCCATCTTCTGGACTCACTGTCCTGGGCAAGGTGGGTTTCCAAGGGGAGGCTTTGCCTGATTGTACCTATGGACAGGGCGCTGGTGGTGGGGCAGACTGTAATACATTTTCCAAAGAACTACTGTAAGATCAGATTGGAACACCATGTTGATGGTTGGCAGTATTTTGGGGATTCTGAAAGGAAGTATCCACTGCAATGAGGGCTGTGACTTCTTCAGTCCATTCTTTGTTCAATGGAGTGTCTTCAAGTGACTGAAACTGTACTAAATAAAATCCTCTTCTAGCTTTTCACCTCCTTCCACAGCCAGATTGCAGTCAGTGGGACATGGTCATTCTGGGAAGTGACCACTGTAACTGTCTAAATGAAATGCCACTTTTGGATTTCCCAAGTGAGGTGCAAGCAAACTGATTTATTGGTTTGGTGGAGCACAGCAGTGAGCAGATTCTATCAAGGATCCTAAAAGCAGGCTGGCCATCTCAGAGTGCTAGAACAGATAAATTGATTAGTTCTGGTGCTGTCATTATCATTATGTGTGTTATCTCTTCCAGCCAGACATTAGTCCTGCAGATTGCTATGTTGCTATTCTGACAGGTTTCACGATATATACATGCCTTTCTTCCCATATGATTCGCATGGGAATGGCTGCCCTGATGATGTCTTGCTTCACAATACCAACTAGAAGAGGGAAGAAGCACTTAAGAATTAATGTATCTGAATGATAATTTTAAGCAATATCTTTTTCATATCCAGGCTAATAACAGGACTCTACAGGAGAAGATCCTCCAGGTGAATAACCTTGTAGAAGCATTTGGAAATGCAGGCACTATCATCAATGATAACTCAAGCAGATTTGGAAAATATTTAGAAATGAAATTCACTTGTGGTGGCACTGTTGTAGGAGCTCAGATTTCAGAGTATCTCCTTGAAAAATCCAGAGTTGTCCATCAGGCAGTGTAAGTATAAAAATGATACTTGACCTAATTTGGGGTTTACAGAGCAGGCCTACAATGCAGGGAATTATCTTGGGACAAAACACAAAGATGAATAAGGTACTGGTTTCTTTTCTTGTAAATGATGTATGAATAGCTTATAAATCTGTAAGCTTGCTCAAAACTACTCCCAATTTTTTTTTCATTGCCTCCTGGGTTAGTTAAACAAATCTTATAAAATGTATATGTGATAAATAAAATGTATTGTAATGCATAAAGAATTAAAAACTTTCTTATAGTTAAGTTATAAATTCCTTTGTGGAATTTTGAGGTAAGTTTGTAGGATTGTGTTAAGTATGTCACTTTGATTTAATTCCTCTACATTTCCTCTAGTATTGTAGCTTTTATTTTCAAATGCTTGTTTTCCATTGTGGAGTATCTAGTAGGATTTGGTTACAAAAGGTTATGGACCAAACACAGTACAGATCCATCTCTGTCATGTGTGTATTATAAAATGAAAGAAAAATCAAATGGCATTTCCAATTAATTTAAATTATTGAAATTTATTCTCTGTCCTAATATATAGCACATTCAGATAAAAAATGTTTTGGCAACTCTATTTCTGCCATAATAACAATAGGAAAAACAAAGTTTGAGACAGGAACGTTGTCACTGTTTTAAATGTTTCCCCCTTGCTGATATCTTACTCATTTTTATCCTTTTGGTAGTTCTGCATGACCTTGTTGCCTGTTGTAGATTTGTGACATGAAGAACTAAGTATTCCCTGGAATGTTTCAATAAACAATTTAAAGTTAGAGGCAATTTTATGAAATGGTGAGGTTTGAACACAATTCCTTTTTGCCATTTCATCATGAAATCTCAGGCCATCTCAGGGTTCAGTGGTGGTTGCAAATTTGCACCTAAGCATCCAGTTCTTCCTCATAAGGTACACAGGAACCTTGGATGTGAAAATAAACCTTCTGTTCTGAGTTTGGGCACCTAACTTTTAGGCAAAGCATGCCAAGTCATAAGGCCTTTTGCTGAATGTCTGCTAAAATGCTTTCTTGCTTCAGGGGTAAAAGATACAGCAAATATATGGGATTCACTAAATCAGGAGTTTACAGCCCTCCCATGGTCAGAAGATTTTTTAAAATAATTGGAGGTTAAGCAGTCCATTTAATGCGAGTGGGTGAGCAATGTGTAAATCTCACCCAGCATCTACCAATTGTATCAAAGGCAGAACAGCATTTAGCTGCTTGTTGCACAGAGCAGCCACCCTGGCAGCTTCAGAACAAACACGCAATGGCACAGAAAGCACATTGACTTCACAAAAACTTGTGTAATAAAGCTTCTTTCAGAGTCCTCTGTCAGTTTGCATGATCTTGTCTCTTATTAAAATAACATTTAATAATAGCATATATGTCATCAGTAAATGTAACATAGTTACATTACTAAACCAGTTTGTTTCTGTTGTTTCAGAGGAGAGAAAAACTTCCATATTTTTTATTATATTTATGCTGGTCTGGCAGAAAAGAAAAAACTGGCACATTATAAACTGCCAGAATACAGACCTCCCAGGTAATGCAGTTTATTTTTACATAAATTGATTACTAAGAAATGCAGGGTTGTTGAATTCTCAACCTCATTTACATTCTAACTCCGTATCTGTCAACTCTTTCAGATATCTGCAAAATGATCATTTCAGAATAGTGCAAGATTTCATGAACAATAGCTTTTATAAATCTCAGTTTGAATTAATTGAACAGTGCTTCAAAGTCATAGGTTTTACACTGGAGGTGAGTGCTGATAATCCTTCTTTTTTAATGAACTGTAATGGCTACTTTAATCACGAAAACCTTATATAAAGTGTGCAAATAATCTCCCTTATTCTTTTCTTCCTTTAGCAGCAGTGTGTTCATGTTTTAAGATATTGCATGGTCAACTTACTGCTATATTACCACATTTAAATTTTTAAGGTTTCAAAGCACTGATAAACTAATAAAATGGTATTAGTCAACAAGCCCTTGAAAGCAGTGAACACAGCACAGCTGAGTAATTGGGAGAAAGACTTTTGCAAATTAGATTTCTAGAAAATTATGTTGTAACTAGTTATTAGCCTACAATTCTAGGCCTGTGACTATGAGCCTTAGCTCTGTTTTAAGATGAAGTCCATGGTGAGAGTTCTAAAAATTCATTGAGTTGATCTGAGTTTTCATGAACTCGATACATTTTCACAATTCCAGGGGCAAAGCTGAGTGGAGTTTTTACATCCCTTTGGAATGAATCTCATGACTGAACATTAACTGAACCCATTCTTTCTTTATGATCTCATATCATGGCCATTAAACCCCTCTCCTCAGGCTGTTTTTGTTATAATTACAATAAAAAAAAAGAAAACAGGCCTCTGGATTTATTAAATAGTATGCAAAGGAAGGAAACCCCATCCTGCACCCTAGTTCTCTCTTCTTAGGAGAAGTGTACATCACAGCTGTAGTTTACCATTGACTTTATGTATCATAAACGATAGTAGGAGTATGATCCATACAGTATCTGTGAAATACAGCACTTGTGCTGCAGAATGGATGTATGGTTTAATTTTTTTGACAACACTCCATGTTGTAAGGAGCTTTTCGCAGAAAACTGCACACTTCAGTTGAACATTTGTGGCTTCCCTCAGTGTAAATATTTGAATAGCTAGCAGAACAGATTTATTCACCTATTCTGTTCCTCCATACTCGTCTTGCATTACACCATAGTAGCAGTGGAGTTCATTCTGTTTGTCCTCTACATGCTTATTCACAACTGCACTTAGTAGTATCACACCTATGATATCACACATCCTTTCACACCTGTACTTTCACCTTTCCAGAAGCAGCGTGGAAGGATATGCACAGTTCAGCACTGATAGCAGTTTTGTCACAGCACCAGAGACCTTGATAAGTCCTGTACTATGGAAAGCAGCAAGTCTGTTTTTGTTCTCAGTTCTTTTGTTCACTTTGATGGATGGAAACAATAATCCTGATCATCCAAAAGAGAAGACCTTCCTTATATATTGAAGATCCAGTTAGAACTAGGTCACTGGCTGCATTGTGCAGTTCTAGCGTGCATCTTCACTTGATTAGCTCAGCAAGCCACCATGAGCTGAGCCTGCGAAGAATCATCTACCTGTAGAACCCTGACAGTTTCAGAAGCAGGTTGAGTATCACAGGCAATCTAACAGTGGTTACATGTGAGCCCCATTCAGGTTAGCCTGTCTTACATTCTCTGCAGGGTGAATTTGTCTGTCTGAGGCTGTGTTTGCAAGAGTGAAGGAACAGAGAAGTCCTCTTCCCCTGCTGAGGTTCTGATACAGAATACATGTGCAGAGACAATTTATTTTCAGTGAGAAAATGATACTGTAAGACCATGAGTTACTTTTCTAAGTTCACTTTTTAGTAATGCAGCCTTAATCTTTGACATTCATCCCAGTGCACAGAGGAGGTTCGATATAAGCATGTTCTGTGTTTTATTAGCAGAAAACCTTGGATAGAATAGCTTCTCCACTGCAATTAAAACTGAGACCTAAACAAGGCTTTTTCCTTTTAATTTTTTTTTAACTGACTGACAGGCTATAATCGTAACTACTGTCAGTCTTGCTGTCTTAAAATCACACTGTTTTATTTCAGGCTGCATGGCAAAATTAATAGGAAAGGACTGCCTGGGGTGAACAATACCCATGCTGTATGAGACAAATCAAGCCATATTTCAAACACACTGGAAAAGGGCACAAAAATGTCAGCAGCTACTGTACAGAATAATGGCAGAAGTTAAGCTATCCATTTTTTTGCATTTCATCTGTGTTCCTAAGCTTAAAATTAAAATGATTGCTTAAAACCTAGGGAAACTGTGCACCAGTCATCCTGAGCATATTTGTTTTAGAGTGAGCTTATCTAGTTTGTCTTGCTGTCACTGGAATAATTAATGTATTAACTGCTAGGTTAACTTCTGAAAGTGTTGAAACCAAGATCAAGTGTTCCAAAATAATTAAGGTTTTTATCTGAATAAACGATGCCTGACATGGTACCAGCAAACTATTGAATATTAGGGCTAAAATGCTGTGCAATTATGAACAGTACATTGTTATAAAAGACCAATCAAATTTACAAAACTTCTTCTCATAAAACTTATATAAAACTTATAAACCTGCTATTTATAAAATATGCTGTTACTGCATGCCTCAGAATATATAGTATCATAGAGTCCTAGCTTAAAACCTGTTCTGCTTTACAGGAAAACCTCAGCATTTCTGTGTAGAAAATACTCAGAGATCATCAAGTACACTGATAAACATTCACAGTTCAGATGAAAATTCACAGTTCAAATCTAAGTCAAACTTGCAGTGAAAGCATTATTTCATTAATTGCAAATATGATTTTGTATATATATATGTAAGTACTTAAAATAGTTTACTGCATATACCACTTAATTGTCCAGGCTAAGATTACCCCTTTTTCAAGGCAGAATCCCTCTTTAGAACCTACTAAATAATTTGAAATATAAATATGTTTAAGGCAAAGTCCATACCAAAGTGCTTTGGTGAGTACACAGTTCCTAACTGACATTTTGAAGGGCAAAGTGCTCTTCCAAATCAGAGATGTGAGGTCTCACTCTTCTCCCAGTGAAATTTTTTCTGATTATGTTGGTGGAGCTGTTGCAGACCTATTACCTGGAGTACCTGTGTTTCCGTGATCTAAGAAATGTAGATGCAGGTTTTTTTATACTTTTGTTGATCTAGGTATTATGTTTTTAGACACAGTTGTGCCTGCAGACACAATGAAGAATGGATATAAATAATCTTTTGAATTTGTTTTGTGCTTCCCCTGCTCCATGTCAATCCTGTCCTGCCAACAAGTATGGAAGAGAGATTAGTCTATATTTTGCCCTCTTTGGGTGTCTTACACTTGAAAGACTATGCCGAGTACAGAACAGGGACTAGTTACTGAGGAAAGTATTCCGAAAAGTAGTGGGCGCGTGGCAGGCAACAAGAGAGAGACAGTGATTGTTCCACACTTCCGAAAGAACACACGTGCGTGCTCATCACCCAAACCAAAGTGACATATTTGTCAGGCTGTTAAGTGTTGCATCTCGTTGTTGTATTTCACTCAGAGGGTGGTGAGGCACTGGAACAGGTTGCCCAGAGAAGTTGTGGATGCCCCATCCCTGGAGGCATTCAAGGCCAGGCTGGATGAGGCCCTGGGCAGCCTGCTCTACTGGTTGGAAACCCTGCCCACAGCAGGGGGTTGGAACTAGATGATCACTATGGTCCTTTTCAACCCAGGACATTCTATGATTCTATGATCTTTTTTAATATACTTTGCAGGAACTTGGAAGTGTGTACAGTGTCCTGGCTGCCATTTTAAATGTGGGTAACATTGAATTTTCTGCAGTGGTATCTGAACATATGATCGACAAGAGCAACATTTCCAATCCAGTAGCCCTTGAGAATTGTGAGTGTTTTTTCTTGATTTAAGAATGATTTCCTTTAGTGTTTTAATAGTGAATTACTTTTATGGCCAAACTATAGTCACATGGAAATTTTGCAAGAAAAATTAAATGCTGAAGACAGATTAATTCCAAGCCCACCTGAATTCAAATGCAAAAAGAAAAAAAAAATCCATGTTATGCACCTTATTTGACTAACCAGTTCAGTGGCATTCAGGAAACATGACTAATACTGCAGATGCCTGAAAAGAAAATCTTTGGAATTTTTCCAAGGTTATTCGAACATTTGATGGAGAACCTCATTAACACTTTGAATAGTTTTTTCCCCAGTTTCTTTCTCAGATACTCATTACTTTTTCCCCATGTGTGCCTGTTGAAATATGTCTCAGTAATTCTTTGGAAGGGATACCTTACATTGTAGGCTGCAGGGCGGAAGAAGAGGGAAAGAAGCAAAGATTCTCAAGGAAGTTGCTGCTCTTCCTCAGTAATTACAGCTGGGGAGATAATGAAGTCTTCATGCTATCTTTATACACATTTTCCTAGCATAGATAGAAAATATTGTGCAACTGGGAAAGAAGCACCCTTTTTTGGAGCAAAAGGAGGACAGCAATGACTTACACAAATGGGTTGTAACTGAGAGGGATATTCACACCGATATTCACACCTCACAACTTACATACTCCTGACGTAGTCACCTAGATGCCCTAGCATTTCTCCATAGACAGTTTGGAGAAATTGCCTCCTTGATAAAGCAATTTAGAACCTAAAGACCTCTTCTTTGAATCACTTACCCATTGACTGCAGTGGAAGCTAGGAAGGCTGGTGACTAAGTTAGATACTGACAGTTGTTTGGTGCGAACACCCTCATTAGTCCAGACTTTGATTTGTCTGTTGTTCATAATACATTGCACTTGCAGCCTTGATTGCAAAAATGCATATTTTTCCTTCCAAAGTCTGCCTCTGAGCTGGGCCTGTGACCTTCCTTCCTAGGTGCGTCCTTGCTGTGTATTCAGGCAGATGAACTGCAAGAGGCCCTCACCTCTCACTGTGTAGTGACTCGAGGAGAAACAATTATTCGGCCCAACACTGTGGAAAAAGCCACTGATGTCAGAGATGCTATGGCCAAAGCACTGTACGGGCGCCTCTTTAGCTGGATAGTCAATCGCATCAACACCTTACTCAAACCTGACAAACATTTAAGGTAAAAGAAGCTTTTCCAGGATAAAGAGAGATTTTCTGTGGGAATAATATTGTCTATTAGTATTCTCATCTACTTTTTCTCTGTTACGTTTTTATTTATGACACCACCATGTTAAAAAAGCATTTATCTTATTCCTAGTATGCAGTGAAAATACAGTAGGTATGGATGGCAGTCACACACACACACACACACACAGGAAAGATACTGGGAGTGAGGTTATAGCACATTTTGCAAATTAATCAAAGAAGGAATTATGTGGCTTATATTGTAGATCCTATAGGTCCCTCTATGGCTGGTAATAGCAGTGAAAAGGGACAAACTTATGACTGCCTGAAGTGAAATATCAATAACAAATAGCTTTGGTTTGCAAATCTGGATTTTCTGGATACATATATTTTTTTTTAAAACATCAGAGGAAAGCCAAGGCTGCAATCCAAAATTTTGTCTAAACTTTCAAATATTATATATAACCATATATGTATGGCTACAGCAGAACAGCAATAAGCAGAACTTTAATCAGTAAGTGACAGGACAAAGTGCATGCAGCACTGCCTGTTACAGAGCCCTTTTGAAATTGAATACTTATTGTGCTGGTGAGGAGGGAGAAAGTTTGATCTGAAATGTTCACTCTACAGAAAAAACCCCAGAAGTCTGCTTTGGTTATGGCAGTAATTTGTATTTGCTATTATTTTGTAATTAACTCTGGGAAGGAATGAGACAGACAAATTTCAGCAGTCTAATCATGAAAAATGTAACTTCTAGGCAGATAAAATAGTCATCAATTCAGGTCAAAATCAGCAAATACCTTTGATCCGTCCACAATAAAATGCTTCCATTTTTGAGATCAACTTCTCAAAAAGGTCCAAGTGCTACTCATTAGTATCTTGAGGCTCATTCTTCAGATCTGATTTCCTGCACTTTTTATGGGGGGGAAAAAAAAGGTGGTTACAGATAGACCCTCAAAAGAGTTTTATAGATAGAATGTGATTTATTCTTTTTAATTTATCTAAGAAAAATGCTAATGTCAACTTCAGTTATATCCTCTTAATTTTTTTTTCAGACAATAAACACAAATATTAGAGCTTTTTTCCAGTTGCAGAAATGACTACTTATCTCTGAGTGCCTTAGCTGAAATTTCAAATTGAAGTTTTTACTAGTAGTACTTCTCTGGAACTTAATTTAAATTCATACCACACTCCAATACTTAAAGTAGTTATTTAGATGCATAAAAGGTCTAGATATTCATTCTTTTGACTTTCATGTTAAAATAAGCAGTTTAATTGTTGTGAATAAATAATATGAAGGAATCATGTTTAATGACAGCAATCTCTAATTTCAAGATGCTGGTGAGTAAAGCCTGTTTCATTACAAGAGAAACAAAAAGAACTCCATGTTGTTCCTGCACTGTAGTCAGTTTTTTACAATAGAATAATAGCTAACAAATATTAATTTAAAAATAAAATCTTAAATCCTCTATACACTTATCAATTGATTCAGTCATTATGTGATTTGATGTATCTGGTCTGCAAATGCAGTCATCTTTGAATTTATTTCCATGTACTGTATTTCAAACAAAAATTGATTGTTATTTTAAGAGATAGCTGGTTTAGCAAAAATCATCCTATTTAACTGTCATACAGATTTGGCCCATTATTTCCTTTTGTGAAATAATAATGAAGCTAGTGACTGTAAAATAAAGGTACAACAATAGAAAGCTTATTTAATCTTTGCAGTGGAAATGATGATGGTTTGAACATTGGAATTCTGGATATCTTTGGCTTTGAGAATTTCAAAAAAAATTCCTTTGAACAACTTTGTATCAACATTGCTAATGAACAAATTCAGTTCTACTTCAATCAACATGTCTTTGCCTGGGAACAGGTATGTGTTGAGTATTTTTATAAAGATTTAATATTATTGAACATATAAAATCTTGTCTCAACAAACTACACTGTTCCTTCTCCATAACAGGTTGTAAATTGCAAATTATAACAAATGTTTTCTGAGTATGTATTATGTGAAGCAGTGCTTGCTCTTTGCAAGTAAAATGTCTACATAAAATGCATTAAACTTGAAATTTACAGTATCTAAGCAACACAACCAGATTATGATAGGTTTGATGCAAATGCAATGTTGTTTTCTTGAGGAGTAACATAAGTGATGTAATGTATGATTCTACAATAAATAAATGAGTGGTAACATAATTTTTAAAGTGCAGTGTTCATAATAGCTTACTAATAAGCTTAATGAACACTGAAATTCCATTATTAAAAACTGAGAATCTTGCAATTGTTTTGTCCTTATTCAGGAACCAGACCATCTAAGCTAAATAATGATAGATTTAATCCAAATAATTTTATGTAAAACAGAGAAAAGGACTAAAATTGCAATTACATAAGTTTATGAAATTGAAGCGGAGAGTGAAAAAACTCAAAAAACATCACCTCAACTTTGTAAATAATTCCATGAGAATTAAATTAACTATCTTTAAATCATTATTCAATATTGTTATTTGAAGAAATAACACATCAAGGGAAAAATATTAATCTTGCTGAAAATTGAAATATTCCAGAATTCTGTATGAGCAGAACAATAAGTCAAATTTTAGGTGAAATTATACTTCTCTGTTTTATTGAAATTCTTGGTATTTATGATACATAGACAAAAATTCTCCTGAATACTAATTTTAATTATTAGTAGAAAAGGTATTTTTGTCCATTTTAATCACTGCTTGTTTTAAGGATGAGACATATACAAGTTTGGAATGTGTCTGTGTATGCAGGTGTGTACATGCATGTGTCAGCCTACAGGTGTATGTATATATATATATGTGTAAAATGGAATTTTTTTTTAATATGGGTCAGCGTTTTATCCTGTTTCCAATTATTTCAGGTAATGCTGTCTCGCAATCTTAGACTTTATAGTTGTTTTTATAGATTTATGTGGGAGACTTTCAGTCACAAGTATTTCCTTGTCTTTAATACCATCTAAAAGTCAGAGAGAAATTAGCCTGAACTACTGTAATTACTTAGACATCTTCTTTCCAAAGTGCATAAATTCACACAAAAAGAGCACTGGGTTACTGCTGTTTGTAACAACTGGAAGATGGAAATAGCACAGACTGCAGCACCGTTATTTATTCCTGTCAAATCAAGGCACTGACCAGGTCCCATGGACTTGCAAATGTCCACTTTGCTCAAATGTTCCCTGACTTGATCCTCCCCCACCGAGGGTAAGTTCTCCTTGCTCCAGGCTTTCCCTTTCATCTCAGGGACCTGTGATAATCAGTCAAGACTGGGATAAAGAAGGCATCAAGTGTATCAACCATGTCATCCATGCCTGTTTAGCAGCAGGCCCATATTTTCCCCAGTTGTCTTTTTGCTGCTGATGGACCTGCCTTGGCTTTCCTAACCCTATCCCTGTACACCCAAATATTGTCTTAATATTCCTTCTCTTTTTCAGTTAGGCCTGGTATCCTAATACAGAACATTTTGGCCAGGCCTTATATTAATACAGAGGTTTGTGGTGTCACTATCTAGTGGGAGCAGTTTGCTGTCCTGCACGCGCCCTGCTGCAGCAAGGTCAGGGTGGTTATTTTTCTACTGAGAAAATGAGGGAAAAAATGAACTTCTGATTTTGACAGCATAGAGTCTACCCATTTCTCCTGGTAGGAAATTTGTATGACAATTACAGACCTTATGGAAAGGGAAGGTGATCTTTATTTACAGAATAATCAAGTATGTTGATTTTACCCACTCACACTCATTCTCTGATAGTTTCCATTGACTCACACTCCCACAAGAAAGCACCAGGATGTGTGTGTTCAAGTGGTCTGGCCAGGATCATTTGTGAGCGACACAGAGAATAAAGGACACCAGCCTGCAAGTCTTCATCATATCTCTTAGGTTCTTCTTGCTGAAATATTTTTTGGACAGATCTCTTACACACTTTAGGGATCAGCAGTTATACGGGGCAGTTCTTTCCCTCAGAACCTTCCTTATTTTAGCCTCTGTAATCCTTAGGCAGGGCCAGTATCTGGTTTTGCTGGTTTGGAATATATACATCATTATGCCTATGGTCTGTTTCCTTGGTGGGCATGTAGGAAAAGGAAGGGCATATGTGATGTGCCATAACCTTGCAGTCATCCTCCTGTTGTCAGATTTAGAGGGTACTCCACTCGCTAGCTGTTTGCACTGTGTTTTTATCCAAGTGAAGGCTTTCTGGTCTTGATGTAAACACCACTTTTCTCAATTTTATTGCTGTGAACAAATGTTCTTCATTCAAATCACAGGCCATTCCTCTAAGACTCTTTCTTCTGGTGCTTATATGCACATTTCCATTCCTATTTCATTTATACCAGTCCTAATATTCCTGTTAGAAGTGTCCACATCCTGCCTTGTAATACCAACCGAGTAAGATGTCTACTTTAATTTACATGACACCACTACACCAGATTATATCAAACCTCATTATATTGTCTTGTAGCAGTCTCCAAAGATATTATGACGGCAGTGCAGAATGAGCTATATGGATTAGGTTCGTGCAAGTGTGGGTGTAAATCCCTTCCTTTCACAGCCAGGAAATGACAAATGTATTATTCTGCATTACAACTCAATGGCACGGGATGATTTGCAGTGTGATTCATAGTCATTATAAGACATCATTTTTCACATATCTATAGCATGGTTGTTCCAGCTTTACATCACAAGAACATTCTTGGAGAAAGCAGGTGGCTTCAGAATTCTTTCTGTTCACTGTAAGGACTCTCCTGTGTTAGCACCAGTAATGTACTTTAATTGTAAATACAGGCCCTCCCTGTAGACAAATACAAGAAAGCTATTTGCAGGAAACTGTAAAATATAATTCCTAAATTGTCTATGTATTGGAAAAAAGAAAATACTTTTAAAATCACGACTGAAACTAAAAGTTCAGCAGATTATTGTTCTTATTGATACAAAATATCACTTATGTAGAAGACAAATAATAGGATGACCACTGCCCTTCACTGACCTCTCTGCCTGACTTTACACACATGTAAGGGTTTGTGTCTTTAACACTAAAAGACAGGAGTCATGTTTAGAAGGCTGATGCCAACAGTCACTGAGACCTTTGCATTGACTTTTCATTAGCCCAAGCTGACTGTCATGCTATCCTGTTGCTGGACACCCAGGCTAGTATCTCTCCACAGCCCTGTGCAATGCCAGACAGACATGTCAGATTGCTCTCTGCTATCTCAGAAATCTCTAACAGGAAACTGTGTTGGACCCTGTAGATCTACCCAAGGAAGACTGCAGATTTAATTTCTCTCATACTTCCCTCAAGAGAAGTAAAACTTAGAAGTACATTATTTCTTCATTTCTTTCCCTGTGTTGCCCAGTTCAATTCCATACCACATGCAATTAGATGAAATTTGACATATCTTCTGGGAAGTCAAGGCCTAAATCAGTTTATTATAGTCTAGTTCTCAATTAAGCCCTGTCAACCTAATAAGTAGTGCTAATATAACTAGGGAAGGTGAATAATTTTTGGCAACTTGAGCAATGAAGCCAAGTAGTAAATGAACTTATAAGGCTAAATTTTACTTTCAGTGTTGCAGGTGACATGTTTTTAGCATTGTCAGTGGTTTCTTTTCTGTATTTGAATCTGAAAAGTGTTCAGTTTTACTTTCCTAGGAAGTGTGGCCTACAAACACACGGCCTTAGAAGTGACAGGAATAGTAGGAATAGTGGTCCTGTCACCACCTGAGACACAGGATGCCTGCTGGACCAGAGTGTCTGGGTGCTGATATGGAAAACTCGAGAATTTATTCTGTATTGTTGACTTAATGTTTTCATTTAAGAATGAAGGCCTTTAGGCCTGAATGCAATCTCCTTTCCCTAGTTTAACAGAAAGGCTGAAGTGGGAGGTATAGTTTAAGCTGAAGGTACTTTAGATTCCCAATAGTCAGTGGAGACAAATAGATACATCTCTGTCTGCACTGTCTGGGTGGAAATGTGGGCTCCTAATTTAGTGACTTCTTTTATATGTCTATAGTGAAGTGTAATGAAGGCTGGCACAATTTTTTTTTTAGGTTAATATTAAAGCAAAGTGCAACTTTTGCACCTTCGGTCTTGTCCTTGAAGGTATTTCTCTTACATGTAAGGTACTGATGTAAGTTCTCTGTGAGCTCCACGATCTGCAGGTAACACTGTCCAGCAAGACAGCCTTCCCATTTCTTTCTCATCTGTGATCCTTCCATAAAAAGTAAAAAGTGTAATGTCAAAATTCACTAGACGGCCGCACTCAAAGGGTTGTGGT